ACATATAAGGCAGCCTAACTCTGATTGATTATAATGACCTATGTTGGATCTAGATGACAGATAATGAAACTGCCAGAAAGGTCCACGTATCATAGATCTAGAGCTGCAGGCGCCTTAGAGACTGTCCAGTCCAACCTCTCATTTTACAGATGAGGACAGTGAAGCTTAGAAACTTTAAGTGATTTGCACATAAGGGCCAGAGGGAGGATTTGAACCTAGGTCCTATGACTTCAAAGCCAGTGCTTTTTCCACTGCCTTCCTCTATAGTAGGGTGAAAGACTATAGTTACAGAATATTACATATGCTGCCAGATGTGTTCATTTTGTGATAAGTTTTGTTTAATTTTTTTTTCTATCATATAAGTGAAGGTTTTATGTAAAGTGATATATTGGGAAATGACTGTGGTATAAAAAGGGGGCAAAAATGAGACCTCTGTCTCTCCCCTTGTGTCTTTCTTCTCTCTCCCCCTTGTGTCTTTCTTTTTATTTCTTATTTTCTTTGTTTCTTTCTCTCTCTTTCTCTTTTCTTTTCTCCTCCCTCCCTTCCTTCCTTCCTTCCTTCCTTCCTCCTTCCTTCCTTCCTTCTTCCTTCCTTCTTTCATTCTTTCTTTCTAGGAAAGCTGTATTGTTCATGATTACAGTGTGGTTAAATATTGCCAAAATTAACAGCTTACAGAAAACTTCCAGGTCTTTGAACCATTGCTCAGGCCATGGAGTACAGAAGAAAACATCAACATACAAAGGCATATCACAAAGAACTTGAGTTAAGAAGCATTGATCTGATATCAATTCTCCTTCCTTCAAACTAGACTTCACCCCAGACAGATAAACCTAGATATGTCTTCTGCTTAATGTTTTCTAGAAAGAAGGGATTACCCCAAGCTCACATCATTCAATACCCCCTTATTAGCCTCCATCTCTCATAAAATCATAGAAATGAGACTTTGAAAAGGACCTCGGGGGGCAGCTAGGTGGCACAGTGGATAGAGCACCAGCCCTGGATTCAGGGGGACCTGAGTTCAAATCCAGCCTCAGAAACATAACCCCATTGCCTAGCCAAAAACAACAACCAAAAAGGGGACCTTAGAGATTACCTTGTCCTGAAACCTGTCTCATGCAGGAGCCCCTTTTGCAATATCCCTGTGGGTGGAGGAGGGAAGATTGGTCTTTGAGTCTTCGAATACTTGAAGTGATGAACTCTCAACTTCACATGGCAACCTGTTCTATTTGTCAGACAGCTCTAATGGTTACAACATTCCTCCTGATATTAAGCCAAGATCTTCCTTCCTACAATGTCTACTCCTTGTTCCTAGTACTTTCTCTGGAGCTACACAGAAAAATCTATTCATAGCATCATAGACTGTCAGAGTTGGAGGGGACCTCAGCAGCCACTGAGTCCCACCTGTCCCCCAGGAAAAATCCCCACTGTGACAGACCCAACAAGTGGCCATCCAGCTCTGCTCAAAGACCCCCAAGAAGGCTACAATCCATTGTACTTTTGGATAGATCTAATTATTAGGGAGTTTTCCCCTGGCATGGAGCCTATGTCTTTCTCTCAGTGTTTCTCATTTTTGTTCCATATTCTTCCCTCTGAGATAAACAGGACAGATCTGATCCTTCTACCATGTGACAGCCCTTCAAGTATTGAAGACAGCTATCAAGCCTCTCTAGATTTTTTCTTTTCCAGATCAGACATCCCTAGTTTCTTCCACCAATTCTCCTATGGCACTGTCTGTCTCAAGGGCCCTTACCGTCCTGGTTGCTCTTCTCAGGATTCTAGCTTCTCAATGTCCGCCCTCAACTGTGACATCTAGAACTGAACATCACACTTCAGATGTGGTCTTGGCAGGGGAAGTTAGGCCAGGACTATCACTATTAATCTCCTTATACTCCTTCCACATTAAAGCCCTTCAAATATTTAAAGACAAAGATTGCATCCCCCCAACCCTCACTCTCTCATTCTTCTCCCTACTCTGAAATTATGATTAGCTCTCTTCAATAAGTAGTTATGAGGCATCTGATAGAAATTCAACCGAGTATCAGGCTCTGGGAGGGATACAGAAATTGGGAAGCCCCTCTGCTTCAGAATACTGAGAATGTAATTGGGGAAACATTTATACAAGTGAAATAATTAGGGAAAGATGTAGGCAGGGGTGGGTAAGTGCCCAGAGCTGTGTGTAGGGTAAAGACAGTTAAGTGCTAAGCAGTTCAGAAGAAGGTGAGAACTATGTAGGTTGGAGCAGTCAGAGGTGTCATCCAACAGAGCAGGTAAAATTCAAAGGATAGATAAGATTTGGCTAGTAACAAAAATGCCTTACATTTATATAATTTCCTTTGTCCTCTCCTTCCCTTCCTCACTTCTTCTTTTCCTCCCTCCCTCCTTCTATCCTTCCTTCTCTCCTTCCTTCCTTCCTTCCTTCCTTCCTTCCTTCCTTCCTTCCTTCCTTCCTTCCTTCCTTCCCCCTTCTTCCTCCCTCCTTCCTCCTTTCTGTCCCTCCCTCCTTCCTTCCCTCCTCCCTCCCTCCTTTCCTTCCTTTCTTTCTTCCTTTCTTCCATAACACAAGTCTATTCACTAAAACACTTAAATGGGCTAGCAGCATCCTATCCATCCCCTTGTACTGACTGCCTATGGGAATATCCTATTAATTTCAGCCATATTTAAAGCTCCTTTGTGTTTTCTATTTCTATAGTTTTTGAAGTGCTGTCGTGTTGAAATGGAAGTCAGAAGACCTGTATAGGAGTTCTCTTTCAGCTGCTTAATAGACATTGGGCAAAAGCAGGAACAAGACTTTAATTTAACAGACGTTTATTTCTAACATTTGCCTTGTTCTGAGAGGAAGTGTGTGTACTGTATAGATGGCCCATCCTGGTGTCAAGAATACCTGTGTGTTAGGCAGTTTTTTTTCAGCTGTGTCCAACTCTGTGTGACCCCATTTGAGGTTTTCTTGGCAGAGATACTGGAGTGGTTTGCCATTTCCTTCTCCAACTTGTTTTACAGATGAAGAAACTGAGGCAAACAGGGTTAAATGACTTGCCCAGGGTCAGTCAGCTAGGAAATGTCTGAGGCCAGTCTTTGGACTCTCTAGGCCCAGGCCACCTAGCTTCCCTGTCAAGAATATCTACTTAGGTTCAAATCCTACCTTAGACACTTACTCTGTGCATAATTCTGTGAAAATCACTTAATGTCTCTGAACCTCATTTTGCTTATCTGTAAGAATGGAAATAACAATAGCACCTGTCCCACAGGGGTGGGAGGATAAAATGAGACAATATATAGAAAGCATTTTGTAAACCTGCAAGTGCTAGTTAAAAATGAGTGATAATTATGAACTACTTTATAAGGCTGATTCTTAGTTTCCTAATCTGTAAGATAATTTAAATGATAATTACCATTATAAATGGCATTTATATAGGAAGTATTATTATGCCATTTACATATGAGGAACTGAGGTCCAGAGAAGTTGATGGTTTCACAGCTAGTAAGTATTGGAGACAGAATTAGAGCCCAGTCTTCCTGACTCCAAGTCTAGCACCAGAAACTTAGACAGATGGTGTCTAAGGTTCTTTCTGGCTCTAAATCCTACAGAATTTGAGGATCAGATTAGGTGATGTGAGTGAAAGTACTTTGTAAATGATAATGGATTCTACAACTATTATTATTATTATATATTGTGTCCTTTGATTTTTATAGACTGAGAGGAAGAGGAGATGAGGAAGAGTGTGTGTATATGGGATGGGAAGGGGACTGAGAAGCATACTGCATTGAAAAAGTAAATTTAAAAAGAGAAATGGAAAACAGGATCTGGATTCAAATCTTGACTCTGTCACTTAATACTTATATGACCTGAGAGAGGTGATTTTCTAGGGTTGTTTTTGTTCAGTCGTGTTTGACCCTTTGTAACCCTTTGTGACATAATGAAGTTTTCTTGGCAAACTGGAATGGTTTACCATTTCCTTCTCCAGTGGATTAAGGCAACCAAAGGTTAAATGGCTTGCCACTTAACACAGCTAGTATCTGAGGCTAGACTTGAGCTCGAGTCTTCCCTTTGAAGTCTAGGACCTTTCCTAAAGGTCCAAGCAGGAGTGGGGAACTTGTGGCCTCAGGCCACATGTGGCCCTCTAGGTCCCTGGGTGCTGCTTTTTGACTGAGTCCAAGTTTTACAGAACAAATCCTTTTGCTAAGGGGATTGGCCCAATGCCTTATCCACTGCGCCACCTAGCTGCCCTTGCTTGTAAGGAGGCTTCTTACATTCTAACAAGCCTTACCATAATAACCAGTGTTAAATCAGGGTTTGAGAGCAAGCCTGATTTCAGCTGCCCTCAGTTCTGGTACAAGAAACAAGACATTGTGAACCCACTCGGAGCTCAGAGGGAGCAGCTGGGGGGGGTGTCACCCTAAAGGGAGCTGCTGCCTAGATCTTCTGGTCCTGTTTCCCATCCTGGCCACCCTCCCCCATCACAGCAAGAGGAGATTAGGAGATTATTCTTCTTTAAGAAAATCTGAGCACCCCTTCTCCAAGGGTTTTAATCCCTGGCAGTCCCTTCTGGCACCTTCTTTCTATTTTCACCCGATCTCCCTTAGAGTGTCAGTCCCATTGGCCACTCAAGGATTTAGCGAGGACTTTTAACACCCGCTGTGGGGACAAGGTGAGGGGGGGTTGTCAGAAGATAATGGGATAGGTCTGAACCATCCTGGGCCTGGGGGAGGGGAGAAAAGAAGGCCAGACACTAGATGTGGGAATTAAGGATAATGTGCTAGTTGTACACCCCTTCCTCCTTCCCTTCAGCCCCTTTCTTTTTCTTTGCCTCTCCTCTGGATGATTTAAGCAGCCATCTCTGTCTTTCATTACTCTGTCCAGAAGTGTCTGTGTGCTTGCTGCATGAAAGAGAAAATTTATCTGTGTCTGTGTGAATGTGTGTATTAGCTTAAAAAAGAGTGCATGTCCCATTGAGAAGGAGAAAGGGAGCAAGCCCTGACCCTAAGCCCAACCTTCCCATCAGGACATCAGCGAAACCTTGGGAGAGAAGATGGGGAACGTCATGGAAGGGAAGACGGTGGAGGAGCTGAGCAGCACCGAGTGCCACCAATGGTACAAGAAGTTCATGACCGAATGCCCATCTGGCCAGCTCACGCTATATGAGTTCAGACAGTTCTTTGGCTTGAAAAACCTGAGCCCCTCGGCTAGCCAGTATGTGGAGCAGATGTTTGAGACATTCGACTTCAACAAGGTGAGTGGGGACAAAGAAGGCCAGGCATACCAAGGAGTCTTGGAAGGCAGGTTATAGCATCATAGGAGGAGCAAATCACTTCACCCCTCTGGGCCTCAGTTTCCCTCTCTATAAAATAAGGAGGTTGGAATAGATGGCTTCTAAGATTTAAATCTATTATCTTAGCAATGATAAGGAAACTTAGAAATCATAAGATCAAAATCTAGAGATGCAGGAGGCCTCAGAAGCCACCTTAGTCCAACTCTCTCATTTTACAGTGGAGGAAACTGAGGTCCAGGGAGAGTGAGTGGCCCAAGGTGACACTGGTAGTATACCCAAGACTCAAACCCAGGTCCTCTGACTCCAGTTTTAGTGGTCTTGTTATTCTATCACAGTTGTACTAGTTGGAAAAAGACAAATGGGGAAGCATTGCTTTTGTTTGTCCAAGGACAAGGCAAGAAGGAACTCAAATTGCAGCAAAAGAGACTGTGGCCTGATGGCAGGGAGGACATTGGTAATTGGAGGCTCTAATCCTTGACCCTCTTCTTCATGTCCTTGGGCAGTGTGCTGTCCCAAACCAGGTATGGGGACCTAATAGGACCCCTGAGAATTAGAGGGAGTGGGGAAGGAGAGGAACAGCCGGAAGCCAGTTTCCTAACTTGGATCCTGAGAGCTTGGGGTCAGTTTGACCTTTCTTTTGGATGAGGTCTAGACCTGCACAGGGGGTCACGTTACCAACTTAAATGTAAGGGATCCTGGAGTGGATAGGGGTACAGGCTAAGGGAATTACTCTTGTCCCAAATTCATGACTACCTGAGTTTGTTCCCAGCTACTATATAGTTAGCTCTGTGTCTCTTGGATCCAGAGATGACCAGTGTTCCCTCCCAGCACACAGTTGCTGCCCTGACCCTTACAGGTTTTTGTTATTGTTGAGTTGTTTCTGTCGTGTCTGACTCCTTGTGACCCCATTTGAAGTTTTCTTGGTAAAGTTACTGGAGTGGTTTTCCATTTCCTTTTCCAACTCATTTTACAGATGAGGAAACTGAGGCAAATAGGAGCAAGTGACTCACCTAGGGTCACACTGCCAGTTATGTGTCAAAGGTGGAACTGGAACCTAGGTCCTCCTAGACAGTTTGTTGTAGTGGATAGAGAAACTGCCTTGAAGCCACTCTCTTGCTGTCTGGCTTTTGGGTAAATTTACTTAACCTCTCTGTGCCTCTGTTTCTTTATCTGTATGGGAAATAAAGTTCCATTCTGATGCTTCATGGTTTGTGGAGGTGACCCTTGGGTCATGCCATGGAAGACAAGTTCTGGAGGGTCCTCCCAACCTGGCATAGCCTTTGAGAACCCTAAGGAACCTTCATGACACCGGGGACTATTAGAGTGGAACCTTATTTCCCTTTTTCAGATAAAATGAGGACCAGAGGTTGAATAACTTCCCCAGAACCACGTGGAGTATCATCTTTTCACCAGAGGGATTGTTTGTTCTATAGGTATTTGCCTAATGTACCACACGAAAAGGACATGACTTGGAGGGATTGCCATTGGCATTGGCTGGGGGGCTGGGAGTGAGAGAATTACCCATATAGGCAAAATCCCAGCTTTTTCAAAGTATAAAACCTTTTTAAAAAATGAGATAATACTACCTGTCCTGTTTGCCTCACTGGATTGTTAGAGGCAACTAAGGCAATTGAAACTCTAATGTAAGTTCTTATTATTAAGACTGACTTTTTCCACTGTCCTGTGGAGCCAGGACAGATTACTGAATTGCCCTCAGAAAAAACAAACAAGCTTAAATCACCCTTTCTCTGCCTCCCTGGCCCAGGCAGTAGGCTTCAGGCCCTTTCAAGTGAAATTGTTCACTGAGCCTCATAATGCAATAATGAGTCTTTCCTTATTTTTTCCTGGGGCCAGGATTAAGCAGAAAGGGTGGGAGAGGCTGACATGAGTTCTGTTGGGTCGGACCTGGGTCTGCAAGAGACACTGGGGAGCCTCTGGGGGCTGGTAAGGACTCAGGGCTATTTTCAACTCATATAAAGCAGATTATGGGTTTGGGGCAATGGAAATAGAAAGGACTTCAGTATGGTGCTTGAAGCTTTTTCCTGGAGGAGTTGCGGGGAGGAAAAGTAACCAAGGTAGGAGGGAGCTGAGTCATCCAGACAGTGGGTGAAAACAAGCAGAGAAAAGAACAATCCAGGCAGAGAAGCAGCTGTAGGGAAATAGGAGTTACCTGTACTGGTGTGGACAGATCTCTAGAACCCAGAGGTGAGAATATTGGAAGGGGGAAGGTAGGAGAGTGACCTCAGCAGAAGCACTTTATCAGCCTGACAGCTCAGACTGGAGCCCTAAAGAGCTCATGGGGAACGCTTGGAGCTCACACAACAGTAGGAAGCGCTTCCCCAAGAGAAGAGAGCTGCACCCTCTGAAAAGCAGTGATGATTTTGATTCATACGTACTGTCAGCTGAGATCACCCAGTAAAGGTCAGAGGAAGAAGAAATGAGTGGTAGTGGTCTTTGACTTCATGCTGAAAGATACAGTCTCTGATAATAATCAGGCAGCTAGTGGTAGAGGCACTGGGCCTGGAATCAGGAAGATCTGAGTTCAGATTTTACCTCAATCATTTACTGGCTGTGTGACCCTGGGCGAGTCACTTAACCTCTTTATGCCTTCCACTTTAGGGAGATAATGATAGCGCTTACCTCACAGGACTGGGGAGAGGGGAAGCTGTTAACACAGTGCTTAGCACATAGTAGATGCAATATAAAAGTCTATTCCTTAATCTGTATTATCTAGAAATTCTTTACCTGCTTCTATTCACTTCCATCTCTAATTTAGATTCTGTGCGGGAACATGTGCATGAATAAGTAAATACAGAATGAACATATATATATATAATATATACACACACACACACATACAAAATAAATTAATTTTGGAGATAGTAGGTTCTAATAACTAAAACGAACAGGATAGGCATTCTATTGTTGTTGTTCAGTGTCAGTCGAGTCTGACTCTTTGTGACCCCATTTGGAATTTTCTTGGCAAAGAAACTGCAGCGGTTTGCTGTTTCCTCCTCCAGCTCATTTTACAGATGAGGAAACTGAGGCAAACAGAGTTAAGTGACTTGTGCAGGGTCACACAGCTAGTAAGTGTCTGAGGCCAGATTTGAACTCAGGAAGATGAGTCCTCCCGACTCCAGGCCCTGTACTCTAACCACTGTACCAACTAGCTGCCCCTAGGCTTACTATCAGCTTTCAACTGATCAAAGGATCATAGATTTAGAACTGGAAGGTACCTCTGAGGCCATCAGGCCTAACCCTCCACATTTTTTTTTATTTTTATTTTTATTTTTTTTTATTTTTTTTCCCATATGCTTTTGAGTTGAAAATTTTTTCTCCCTTTTTCTCCCCCCTCACCCTCCCTAAGATGGCGCACAATATGACATAGGCTTTACATTTACATACCCATTAAACATATTTTCACATTAGTGAAGTTGTAAGTAAAAATTAAAACCAGTAGGAGGAACCATCAGAAAGATGAAACAAAACTCAACTGAAGGTAAAAATAAGTGAGAGCGATTTGACTTCCATAGTTCTTTCTTTGGATGTGGACAGCATTTTCCATCCCGAGGCCTCTGGAGATGTCTTAGATCCTCGTAATGCTGAGAAGGGTTCAGTTTAACATTCTTAGTCATTGCATAACGTGGCTGCTATTGTATACAAAGTCCTCTTGGTTCTGCTCACTTCACTCAGCATCAGACCATATAAGTTTTCCCAGGTTTTTCTGAAGTCAGCCTGTTCATCATTTCTTATAGAACAATAGTATTCCATTACATTCACATACCACAACTCTAACCCTCCACATTTTACAGCTAAGACTGACCAAGTCCAATTTGGCAGGACCACAGAGTACAGGGATGGAATAATAAATGCTAAGTCAACTCCAACTGTTTTACTGTCAGCTTTCCCTGGCCTTAGATGGACCTAGGTCTTGATTAGTGTGAACAGTGAATCCGCTGAAGTGGTCGAATGTATTTTAATTTACATTATCCAAAATTACACTTCTCTGTAGAATATGGCCATTGCTTCCAGCCCTATGGAAACGTGCAATGAGAACTTGAATAGTGAGTTCACATCATGGAGATTCATTATCCTCGTTAATGGAGACTTAGTTGTATTCAGTCCTGGACAGCTCCCATCGATGCCATCCTGTAGTCAGCAGGGAGAGACAGGAAAGACAGGAGAGACAGAGCCCTGGGGAAGAGAGATGGGCATCAGTTCACAGTAATCATATTTAACACTGTCCCAGGATGGGCAGTACCCTCTGCTGGCTGTAAGTAGTAAGAGGCCCACGCAGTGTGATTTCAGAGCCTCACCCCCAAGTACCTTCCCTACAATCTGTCATAGCAGCCTCTTTAGTTTTTTCTTTGATGGGCAGCTAGAAGGCGCCATAGTGCACAGAGCGCCAGGCCTGGAGTCAGGAAGACTCATCTTCCTGAGTTCAAATCTGACTTCAGACACTTGCTATGTGACCCTGGGCAAGTCACTTCACCCTGTTTGCCTCAATTTCCTCATCTGTCAAATGAGCTGGAAAAGGAAATGGCAAACAACTCTAGTATCTCTGCCAAGAAAACTTCAAATGGGGTCATGAAGAGTTGGTTGAAATGACTCAATGACAACAAAACTAAAATATACATTTGTTATCTGGAAAGAGGCCCCCATTAACCCATAGCATGGATTAGCTTATCATATGAATTAGCCTGTCACCTTGGAGGGTAGGACATGGGACAAGTAAATTTTGATTCTTGGCTTCCTTATTTCCAGTCTGTCATGGTTCAGTTCAGGTAACAGGAGTCATACATGAATGAAAATTACTAAACAAAACAAAACAAAACATATATTTGCATATACATATATATACACACATATGTGTGTGTGTATATATATATATACATGTATTCCTGATATGTATACAATTATATGGGCATCAGTTCACAGTAATCATATTTAACACTGTCCCAGGATAGGAAGCCTTTCTTGATCTCCCTCGTTATTTATGCTCTTTTTCATCAAATTATCTTATATTTACTTCTCCGTGTATTTGGAGTATCCCTCTCTCCAGTCCACCCCCTGTAAAATGTAAGCTCCTTGAGGGCAGGGACTATTTTTCATTTTGGCTTTGTGATAGGCCCAGTTTCTCCTAAAGTGCTTTATGTAACATATGAAAAAATTTCATTTTGACATTGTGATAGGCCCAGTTTCTCCTAAAGTGCTTTATATAACATATGAAAAAAAAAACCAATATGACTGAACAGTAGAGAGTAGCTAGGTGGCACAGCGGATAGAACACTGGACCTGGAGTCAGGAAGACCTGAGTTCAAATCTGCCTTCAGACACTTCCTAGTTGTATGACCCTGAGCAAGTCACTAACCTCTTTCTGCCTCAGTTTCCATAAAATGGAGATAATAGCACCTACCTCCCAGGATGTGAGGATCAAAGGAAAGAGTCTTTGTAAAGCACTTTGTAAACCTTAAAACTCTATATAAATGCCATATTATTATTGTTGTTGTTGTCAGAAGTGCTCAGTACCAAATGAACAGGACAGGTAGTAAAGGCCATGGGAAGATAGATCCCCGAGGGTTGAAGTCAACCTCTGTGGAAGGCTTCAAATTGCAGGCAAAAATTAATATGGCTCTTTTTGATATGTGACATACTTGGATGTTGTCCTTGGGAAAATCTGTTTCTCCTAACCCTCCCCTTGGGACCCAGGAACACCAATATGAGTGAACTTGACATATTTAGCAGCAGCATCTGGTACATTCCCTATCCCAGTGGTCTGCTGGTAAATGTTCAACTACCAGCTCCCTGAAAATTCCTGAAACATTTTAAAAGCTAATTTGCATCATTATTTTCTCTATTACTTTCTTAAATCTAGAAACCAACAAAACACTAAATTGAGCTCTGATTTGTAACATTTCCTGATTTTCAAGATGTAAATACTCATACCAAAAATTAAATAATCCTCAGGAGCCTGCATAAGCTGGCTTCATCCTCATCTCTCTTTCCAGATCTCATCAGTAGAATCAACAGGGTTGAGTAGATGGTCTTTTCTAGGGTAGAGTTTGAGGGACACCAGTAAAGATAACCCCTAAATACTAATAACATTACACCTTCTCCAACATACAAAATCTCCTTGACTTGGTTAAGACATTGTTGTTGTTTGTTTTGTTTTGACTGTAAACATATATAGGATCCTAAATATAGAGCTGGAAGAGACATCAGAAGACATCAGGCTGACCCTCTCAATTTTACAGGAAAAGAAACTGAGGTCTTTTTATTTCATTTCAATTCAACAAACCTTTATACCAGGAAACAATCTTAGCGGTTAGAGTTCTTCATGAAGGGGTTGGCTTATCTCTTAAAGAACTGAGTTTCCCATAGTGGAGGTCACTGAACGTCATTTTTAAAAAGCACATACGTTATCTTAGAAAGGCATTATTTGTCATTAACATCTTAGTATGGATTAGTGTATCAGGTTAGTCTCAGGTATGGAAGGAACCTCAGAGACTGCCTAGTCCAAATGTTCTGTAAAATTTGGATCCAGTCAAAAGGCTGAACTTAAGGATCTGGAAGGCCACATAAGGCCGCAGGTTCCGCATCCTGGGCCTAGTCAAATCTCTTCATTTTATATACTGGTGAGAAAACTGGAGACCTGAGGCAGGGTGTGACTTGCCTAAAATCACAAGTTGATTTAGAAACAGAGCCCAGACTAGAATCCAGTTCTCTTGATTCCTGGTGGGTGTTTTCATTTATTCAACAAAAACTTGTTAAGCACCTGCAGGGTGCGAAGCATTATGTTCCTTGCTAGACACAGTAAGAGTAGGTGGGTAAGAGACTTGTACTCAGACTCAGAAAGACCTGAGTTCAAATTTCCCCTCAAACACTTGCTAGCTGTCTGACATTAGGCAAGGGCAAGTCACAAGCTCTCCCAGCCTCAGTTTCCTCAAAATGGGGATAATAATAGCACCTACTTCACAGGGTTGTTGTAAGAATCAAGTGGGATAACACGTATTATGCTTTGTAAAGTACTGCATAAATGGTAGGTATTATTCCTTTTCCAATCCTCCTTAAGACTAGTGCCTTCATTATTTCCAATTTATGAGGAATATGCACATTATGGTATAGATTTGTATACATTGTATTATACACATTGTATACATATATACATATAATTGTATACATATCAAGAATATGTATATATACACATATGTGTGTATATATATGTATATGTAAATATATGTTTTGTTTTGTAATTTTCATTCATGTATGACTCTGTGACCCCTTTTGGGGTTTTCTTCCTTAAGATACCAGAGTGGTTTTCCATTTCCTACTTCAGCTCACTTTACAGATGAGGAAATTGAGGTAAATGGGGTTAAGTAACTTGCCCAGGGTCACACAACCAATAAATGTCTGAGGCTGAATTTGAACTCAGGTCTTCTTGACTCCAGGCCTAGCACTCTATCCACTGTGCCATATATATCTATATATGTATGTATGTGTGTGTGTATATATATATATATATATATATATACACACCTATATTTCATATATAGTTGTGTATTATATATATAATATATATATATATATATATATATATATACACACCTATATTTCATATATAGTTGTTTTCATGTTGTCTCTCCCCCTCCCCGCTTGGACTAGGAGGTCCTTGAGAGCAGGGATTATCTTTTACCTTTCTTTGTATTCCTATAGTACGTATTTTTAATAAATATAAATTAACTGACTGACTAGGGGTGATAGAAAGTTTAAATAATATGTCATCATGGAACTTATAGGAGGGAGGCGACTAGGGAGTATATTGGATATAGCACTGGACCTGGAGTCAGGAAAACCTGAGTTCAAATTCAAATTCAAATTAAATCTTCAATATCTTTGCCAAGAAACCTCCAAATGGGGTCATGAAGAGTTGGACACAACTGAAAAATAACAACACTCTTGGATAAGTCTGTGTTGCAAAATAGTATAAGATAAATACGTTAAAGAGTTGTTGATCAAAATGCCAGTAAAGGCCAAGAGGGAGAGGAGGTTGTTATTGGCATGTGTGGTGGTCAGTTCAACTTGGAGCTCATATAATAGTGCTCTTAGCAGAGAGTAGGTCTTGATAGAATAGGACACATGGACAGGCAAGTGTTGGTATTTTAGGTAAGGAGGCCAAACAAGGTCTCTGGGGACAGACCATCCTAGCTAAGTTACATTTCTATAATAACTCATATTTCTAAAGAGCTTTGTGGTTTTCAAAGAGATTTCCTCAAACAGCCCTATAGAGTAGCTTGTGAAAGCATTATTATTCCCAATTTACCTAAGGCTCAGCAAGGTAAAGATTGGCAGATCAGATGGGAGAACAGATTTACGTGTCCTCACACAGCTAGTGTCAGAGAAGGTGCTCAAACCTGGGTCTCTCCTGAGTCCAGGTCAAGAATTCCATCCATTCCATCATACTGCCTACACAGTGGGGGCAGAGGAGAAGGAGAAGGGCAGGACAGGGCATGGCTTGGAGCTACTGCAAGGGCCCATGGGATCTGAAGAAGAAACACCCAAGGAAAAGGAGGTATAAAGGGATGGTGGTAGGGTGGAGGGAGGGAGGGATATGGGTCCCAACTAAGCTTTGTGTATCTATTTTAAATCCTTTAGGTTGTTAGTTCCTTAAGGGGGAAGGGACCATGGCTTAATTATTTTTGTTTCTTCCTTCATACTTAGCACATTGTTGGGTATACAGTAGGAACTCAATAAGTGTTCGTTTTTAAACGTTGGATGAACTTCATACATTTCACCATGGTGTCCAAGGCCCAGGTACTCCCTATTGGCTCTAGATAGGGTCAGATCTCATTGGGACAAACATCTGAGACCTGATTAGTGGGCAGAAGTGTGAGCTGGGCCTGGGAAACTCATTCTCTGTCCAATTATGACATCAAAGGACTGACAGTGAAATGTTCCTACTGCCTCTTGCTAGAGAAGTGGTAGACTACAGGTATGGAATGAAGCACACGTTTTCACTTAGGGCTAACCTGTTGATCTTTTTTTGCTTAATGAATTTATTTGTTACAATTTTGTTGTTGTTCAGTCATTTTGGTTGTGCCTGACTCTTTGTGACCCCATTTGGGGTTTTCTTGGCAAAGATACTGGAGTGATTTGTTATTTTCTTCCCCAGCACATTTTTACAGATGAGGAACTGAGGCAAACAGGGTTAAGTGACTTGCCCAGGATCACATAGCTAGGAAATGTCTGAGGCTGGATTTGAACTAGGAAGATGAATCTTCCTGACTCCAGGCCTGGCACTCTATCCATTGGGTCATCTAGCTGCCCCTTTGTTATGATAGCAGGTTCCATTAGGGGTAGGAAAGTAGTGGTAGGGTAGGGGTCCATACACAGTGATTATTTTTTTTAAAGAAAAAGAACATGCTTGAGCTAGGAATCCCCTAACAATCCTGTCTGTTCTTGCCTAGGATGGTTATATTGACTTTATGGAGTATGTGGCTGCCCTGAGCCTCGTCTTGAAAGGGAAGGTGGAACAGAAGCTTCGCTGGTACTTTAAGCTATACGATGTGGACGGCAACGGCTGCATTGACCGAGGAGAGCTGCTCAACATCATCCGGGTAACTTAAGGTGACCAGATAGTCTGGTTCGGCCCACACTGACCCAGTTATCTCAATAACCTGGGCAAGCATCCTGGGAAATTCCTGTTTGATCCCCTGCACCAGGAAAATAGCTGTAGACCAACTGTGAAGTCCTCTTCCTTACTCTGTGAATGACCATATCTAAGCTGGCCCTTCATAATGCTTAAGATCTGACCATTTTTCTAGTCCTTGCTTGACATTTCAGACTAGGAGAACCCCTTTTGGGGTTTTTGGAGAAGCGAGGACATTAAAATAATCTGTGGCATCCTACTTAACCCTTGGTCAGTGGTATGTTGGCAAATATTTAACAACTGGCTCTGTGAAGAAAAAATGTACCCATGACACACTTTTAATTTTAATTTGCATTTGTTGTTGTTGTTCAGTTGTTTTAGCAAGTGTCCAACTCTTCATGACCCCATTGGGGGTTTTCTTGGCAAAGATACTGGAATGGTTTGCCATTTCCCTCTCCAGATCATTTTACAGTGAAGCAAACAGAGTTAAGTGACTTGCCCAAGGTCACACAGCTAGTAAATGTCTGCAGCCACATTTGAACTTAGGTCTTCCTGACTCCAGGCCTGGTGTTCTATCCACTTGGCCACCACATTGTTGAACTGGAAAGTGTCCAGAGAACAGTGACTGGTAGAATGTAAACTCCTTGAGAGTAGGGACTGTGTGTGGTGAAGGGCTTTGAGTCCATGTAATATGAAGACTGATTAAAGGACATAAGGATTATACACTGGAGGAGAGAAGACTCAAGAGACGTCAGGTATTTGAAGGGATGTCACAGGGTAGAGGGATGGAATGTTTTCTGTTTAGCCTCAGAGGACAGATCCAGGAGCCATGGGCATAAAGAATCGTAGCTCTGGAGTGAGATTTCAGACTTGGGTTCAAATCTCATCTCTGATGTTTTTACTACCTACATGACTTGGGGAAAGGTGATTACCCTCCCCGGGCCTTAGTTTCCTCACCCATACAAGTAGGGGGTCAGAGTCGAGGGTCTCTGAGGTATCTTTCAGTGCTAGATCCTACTTTTAGGTAAGACAGTGTGGTGTGCTGGTTAGAGCACTGGACTTGGAATCAGGAAGATTTGGGTTCAAATAGCTACTCAAACACATAATAGCTGTCTCAGGGCAAATTACTTCTCCATGCCTCGACTTTCCTCATCCATAAAAAGACAGAGTTGGTTGGATTCAGTGGACTTGAAGATCAAGTCATTTAACTTCTCAGTGCCTCAGTTTCCTTATCTGTAAAAAGAAGGGTTTGGAGTCAGTGGCTTCTAAGGTCCCTTTCACATGTAAGTCTATGATTCTTTGAAGTTGTAAAGAGGAACATTTAAGCTCGATGTTGGGAAAGACTTCCTCAACAATGACAAATGTCCAAAAGTGGGGTGGGCTGAATTCTGTCAGTAGTTGCCCTGCCCTAAAAGTCTTCAGGAAAAGGCCAGATGACCATTTATTGAGGGTATTTATTGTGTAAATTCTTTTCTGCCACGGGGTGAACTAGATGACTGCGGAGATCTCCTGCACCTCTCCAATTCTGGGATTTAGGTATTGAAGACCTGCCTCTCTCCATCAGCGATTTGCTGTGTGTCCTTAGGCAAGTCACTTGGCATCTGAACCTCAGTTTCTTCGTCTATAAAAAGGGGATAATGATTCTACTACCAAGCTCACGCTGTCATCGTGAGAAAAGTGTTTGCAAATCTTAGAGCTCTGTATACATGTGAATGATTTTTATTTTCATTGCCTCACGGGTTGTTGTGAGGAGCAAATGAGAATCGAGGTGAAAGAAGGAAGGTGAGGTCACATGATTACACTGTCATAGGGACCAAGCTCCTTGAGAGCAAGGATTATCTTTTACCCTTCTGTGTATCCCTATTACTGAGCACACAGTAGGTGCCTAATAAATGTTTATTGACTGACAGAGAATGTTAGAACACAGAGCATGGAATGTCAGAGCTGGAAGGAACCTTAGAACATAGAGTATTGGAATACAGAGCATGGAATGTCAGTAGGGCTGGAAGGGATTTTAGAACATAGAATGTTAAAACACAGAGCATAGACCGTCAGCTGGAACACAGAATGTTAGAACACAGAGCATGGATTATCAGGGCTAGAAGGGACCTTGGAACACAGTATGTTGGAATACACAACACAGACTATCAGGTCTAGAAAGACTTTAAAACAGAATGTTGGAACATAGAACGTAGAATTCCAGCACTGGAAGAAGACTTAGCACCTAGAATGTTAGTACACAAAACACAGACTGTCAGAGGTTGAAGGGACATTGGAGATCATTTAGCCAAACCCCTTCATTTTACAGATGGGGAAACTGAGGCCCAGAGAGGAAATTAACTTGTATGAGGTCACAAAGCAAATAACAGAGGTGGGATTCAAACTCAGGTCTTCTGATTCTGAGCCCAGTATTCTTCTTTTATTGTTTTGCACTGAGCACATTTTGTGTGTCTGGCCCTGGGTGAGGCACTATAGAGAATATAGAGAAGTATAAGGCATGAGAAATATGGGAATCCTGTACTGAGTGATGGATGAGTGGGACTGGAGCAGTCAGTAAGTCAGAGAATCATTGAGCTGCAAGGAAACTTGGAGAGGACCTACTTCTTCATTTTACAAAGCTTCCGAAGGCTGTTCTAACTCCTAATATTCCATGATTCTATATTGTATTTGCCCTCAAGGAACTCACACTCTCAGAGGAAATAACCTAATTGTCTCTATCTGGTTTGGGTTTCATCCTTACCCTCTCCCTGCTCCTAAACCAAGCCCTCTCCCTTCCTCCCTCTCTTTTTCCCACATCTAAGCCACTGTTCCTCTTCTCCAGGAATAAGGATTGGGGGAAATGGAGAGAAGCAGCTAAGTTCAGAGACCCCACTAACCACAGCCCATCAGGATGGACTGTTGTGTCTGACTCTTCATGCCCTCTTTTGGGGTTTTCTTGGCAGAGATACTGAAGTGCTTTGCCATTTCCTTCTGCTCATTTTTAGATGAGGAAACTGAAGCAAACAGGGTTAAGTGACTTGCCCAGGGTCACACAGCTAGTAAGTGTCTGAGGCTGGATTTCAACTCAGCTCTTCCTGACTCCAGGCCCAGCACCTATCCACTGTGCCACCTTGCACAGTCCCCAGGCTGGACTAGATGATCTCTACAGTTCCTATCCTGTCTCCCAGCAGCATCAGACATACTGTGACTTGAGCAGCAAGGTACTACTCCCCGGTAACAAAGCTAATTTCCTCCTCTGTATGAAGAGGAACCTCTATACTTTCTGTTCTGGGGAGTCTATCGACTCTGTGGGATACACAGTAATAGTCCCTCTTATAGAAAGAGCAGTCTGCCAAGAAGTCCAAGTACATGGTAATCAAGTCATTCCTTCCAACGCACAAATGAAGAAGGCAATTATCTTTCTCAGTCCTGCAGCTTGCAAAGGCAAAGGCAGAAATCTTTTTGAAAAACACTGCTCCAGTTTTACACTTATCTGGCATGGATGTGACTGTAGTCAAGGCAGATTTTGAAGGACAAGTTAAGAAGCTACTAGAATTAATAGAAAACTAAAATCCTTCCAGATCTAAATGTAGGTGCCGTGAAACCCTGACAGCTTGTCCTGCTCTGCCACCTGCTGTCTAAATCTTGATATTGCATCCTTCTCCAGGCTTGTCCTCTTGGAATCTTCGATCATTCCAGCCCTCCCTCTCCCTTATCTCATCCACTCTTCTGTTATTTTCCTGTAGGCCATACGAGCCATTAACCCCTGCAGTGATTCAACCATGAGTGCAGAGGAGTTCACTGACACAGTCTTTGCCAAGATTGATATCAATGGGGACGGTAAGGAGTGGGATGAAACAATGGGACCTTTCTCCTGCCACTCTAAATCTGTTCTCCCTAACCAGTGTCTGTCTACATAACCTTCTATCCACCCATTCAAGCCCTGGTCCACAGGTTCCATATTGACTTTTAGAGGGTATACTCAACCCTGGCCACATGTCCTGGACTCTTCTTCCACTTCCCAACTCTAGGATGTTGACTCCTGTGTCTCCACGTGCTCTCCTAAAACTTTAGCTGGCTTCTCCATCTCCCACCCCCAATTAGCCTTCCTTCTTCTGACCCTGCAGCCTTCATGCTGCCTTCTGTCCTTTGTCTCCAGACTTCTTTCCTTTGCCCTAGACTTGAGCCTTTGACCCCTCCTCTACTGATTCCCATGCCCCACTCCTATACCCTGGATTCCTTCTTCCAACTGGTTCATTAGCTCTAACTCTGCTCCTTGCTCTAGACTGTCACCGCAGCCACACCCTCTATCCCCTGCCTTCCCACTGGATTGTAAAACCACATTGCCCACTCAGAGATTGATGCCCTCTTCTTCCCTCCCCTTTAGGTGAGTTGTCTTTGGAGGAATTCATGGAAGGTGTCCAGAAGGACGAGATGCTGTTGGACACACTGACCCGAAGCTTAGACCTTACCCACATTGTTCGCATGATACAGAATGGTGGGCAGAACTTGGACAAAGGACAAGGGGAGGATGGGGCAGCTGGGTGAGCCCAAAGGGGTCTAGGCTACCATCTCTGAGGGCTAGTTTTGTATTTTTTTTTAAAAATATATATCATGCACCACCTACATGGGTTTCCGTTTACCTCCTTTCAGAGTGCTGATGGGTGGTTAGGCCTGTTCACCCTACAGGCAGCATGGTGTAGTAGATGGAGCTCTAGATTTGGAGTCAAGAAGATCTGGGTTTGACTTTTGCCTTGGACGCTCACTAGCCATATGACACTGGGCAAATCACTTAAACTCTTAGATTCTCATTTTCCTCATCTACAAAATGAAAGGGTTGGACTCTGTCCCCTCTAAGTCCTTTCCAGTTCTAAATCTGTGATCCTGTGACTGATTTCTGAGGGTCATAAGGCCTGATTCACAGGGTGTAATCTGGACAGGTCTCTAGTGTGGGGAGGAGGGAGAGACCAGTCATTTGCCCTGGCCTCCTAGAGTGAGTTAGATCAGTTCTGGGGGCAGGGTTTATTTTGCAGTGCTAGAACCACAGTATCTCAAAGTTGAAAGGCATCTCAAAGGTAATTTATTCTAGCCCTGACCTGAGCACAAATGCCCTCTACAGCATTCCTGATAAGTGGTCTTCCAGCCTCTGAAAGCCAATCCTAGGCTTCTCCGCAATCTTGTCATTCTCCTTTCTCATCCTTGGAAAGCAGGGATGGGGATGAGTGGCTACTGAAGGGGAGGGTGATGTGGGAAAAGACCTCCCAAGTTCTACCTTCCTTCAGGGAGTTCTCAACCTATCCTGAGTCACTCACTCACTCATTCAATAAACATTTAGTAGCTCCTTATTGTGCTGAGCTCTGAGGTGGATCTGGAAGACCCGACATTTCAATAAAACACAATCCCTACCCAAAGAACCCAGTAAGAGTAGGATGGATTCTCCTTCTTACCTATTCCCTGCTCCCGATTCTGCTGGCCGGTGGGACCCCTAGTAAGGGCAATGGATCCTGTTCTTCAGGGAATATAACAAAAGGGAAGAAAGGAGAGACAACCTGTCCTGCTTCCCTTTTTCTGAGAGGTGGGGAGAGAGCCCTCAGTCACACCCAGGACATGACAGTGCTATTTCCTTCTCATTGCTACAGTCACTTAGCAGCATCCAGAAGTTTGTGCATCTTTGACTCAGTGTGTACTCTTTGTGTAATATATGTGTGTGTATAGATGTTGGGCATGTATGTGAGCTGTGGATTTGTATGCTGGATGTGTATATCTAGGAGTATGGGTGTAGATCATATATATGTATTTCACATTTTAACCAGTAGTGTTCCATAGGATTTTTATTTTCACAAACCTTATGAAGACTAGATCACCATATTTATTCAATAAGTGTTTTTGAACACCTACTATGCACTACGTGCTATTCTAGGTATCCTCCCCTCCACAATCCATCTTCCACACAGATGCCAAGACAATATTACTAAGGCACAAGTATGTCCATATCACCAATCTACTCCAAAGCCTGGAGCAGCCTGACTTTTCTTTTGTCTATAGGATAAAATATAAATTCCTCAGCCTGATATTAAAAGCATTTCACAGTTTGTCGCCAAACCTTCCCAGACCTCCTTCCTTCAATGCATATTCCAGGAAGATAAGACTATTCCCTGCTCTCCAAACTCAAAATGCCGTGTCTCATTTCCATTTTTTCACAGAGGCCACCCCCACCCCGGTCTGGTTTGCTCTGGTCCATCCATCTTAGGACCAGGATGTTATATTTTATCTATACTCAGGGTTCTCTGGTCCCCTCAGGGGCTTGTAAAGATCTTTTCTCTGTCATTGGCTCAAGTCCCCCACTAATTATGCTCCCCTTATTTTAGGCACCCAGTGACAAGCACCCCAGTTTCATTTAACTATTTAATATCAGATTAACTTTTACTAAAGGATATTAGCCTTTCTTAATGCCCCTTAATCCTAGTGCCTTCTCTCTGAGATCAGCTCCAATTTATTCGAATATATTTGGTTTATTCATATTTATTTGTATTTTGTCTTCCCTATTAGATTGTGATCTCCTTGAGAATAGGGAATATTTTTTTTTGCCATTCTTTATATCACCAGCATTTAGCACAGTGCCTGGTACATAGTAGGTATTTAATTTTTTTGGTCTCTGGGAAAGGGAAAAGGAAATTAAGCTTATTGTTTAACTCAGTTGCTATATAGCATTAGTACCACCAAGTTCAAGTCCAAAACTAGGAGTGCTGGGTTCTACTAAGTTCCCAGGTTACTCAGGGCCTCAGTGCTAGGCTGGCTATGCCACCCGGCCTGGATTCTTGGATTCCCATATCTCTGTGGTTTGAATACTTGGCTTTATTGGAGACTCCTCTCCCTATAACCAGAAGGGAAAAGATCAATGTAAAGGCCAAAACTCAAGGCCTAGTGTTTGGGGTCACATGACTTAAGGGGAAAAGGGGGAAGGAAGTGGCCTTTAGACCACTTAGCACATGTGAGTGACAGTCCCTCACCTTCAGATGGAAATGTCCAGAAAAGCCCTGAAAGTGCTCAGTCAGGCAGTTTTAAAGATATAGATAGTTCCAGCTATGTATCCAATGGAAAAAACTGCTCCCAACCACATGGTAAGCCAACTGCAGACTGTCCACATGTAAGCCAATTGGCACCAGCCTTTAGGAAGCAGATCCTCCAGTGCCTGGTGGGTGTAACCATCTTAATAGGTAGGTGGCCTAAGCATGTGCCAAATCTCCATTATACAGAATGTACTTCCTCCTAAACTCTTCTCTGAATCTTTTTCTTCTTTTGAGGAAGAAGGTGGCTCAGGTACCATTTTTTAGAAAAATATTTTCCTTGGTCTTTCTAGGTGTTAATCTCTCTCCAACTAACTTATATAGCCAGCATGGTACTCAACTCTTGATTCTTATAAACTACTGGACTCAGTATGGAATATCTGGATTCTAAGTGTACCTTATTTGTCTTAAGCCTCAATCCCACCTTAGCTGGAAACTTTTAAGGTCACCTAACCTCAGTTTTACCAGGTTAGCTGGGAAGAAAAGGAATAGGCAAGACAAAAGTAAAATATTTAATCAGTACTAAAACAATTAGTAAAGTAATAAGATAGCATTCTCATCACACGTACTCTAAGGATTAGGGTTTCATCTCCAAGAAAATCATGGGAAAACAGTCTTCTTCAAGATCATGCTCTGATGAATGGAGCATATGACAAATGTCTTTTGTATGGCTGGACCAAAGATGGCAAAGATCCCTTCATGGAGGAACTGAGTCTATGATTTCAGCATCCGTTGCTTTCATCCTTTTCAGCTTCCATCTCCCCATTCTTAGCAGCCAGCAAGAGGGCTACACTGTAGCTGTCCTCTTTCTTTCACCAGGCATCACGATGAGCAGCTTTCCACACAACTTCTCCTTCTTCCCAGAAGTCTCCACTGCCCTCCTAATAGAATCTCTCTGTACTGTAGACACACAGTCTTATGGGAATTGAAGTCCTAGGCCTTTTAATCAAGCTTGTCTTTGAAGCCCAGAGCCTCATGAAAATTCAATCCTTTCTCTTGGATGTTCTCCTATTTCCACTCCAAATATTCATATGGATTATTTGTGTCTGACCTGTGGTAAAGCCTTTCCAGTTCATTTTTGGTCTAATTAGCCACGGTTGGACGCACTATACCTTGACTCTGCCATAGTGATGTTTATTTTGGTCCTCTTCAAGCACTAAGGACAACACCAACCAATTACCGTCATATTGCGTGTATCTGCGCACATGTTGTAGTTAGCCCCTGAGTAGAATACGAATTTTTTGAGAGCAAAAAAATATTGTTTTTGTCTTTGTATTCCCTGTATCTTCAAAAAATATAACTCCAATGCCTCATCATGGCATGGTGGCCACTTGTGTTATCAAAGGTTCTGCCAGTAGAATGCCCTTTCTGGCAAGTTTCACCACACTGGAAAGGCTTTGAGTACAGTCCTAGTAATAGATGTGTCTGCTTTACAAGGACTAGCCCAGTTAAGTACAGGGAGGTTCATAGCCAGTCTTCATTATCATTGGTGTTGAATTCTGTGGCTATGGTTACTCATAAAACAAAGAAAAATACACTATGGTCCTTAGTCTTATGTAACTCCTTTATCTTGGTGGTAGAGTGGGTGAAATGTGGGCAGAAGGCATTAAGAATCGGATGCTTATTAAACGATCTATAAGCCTGAACTTACCTAAGGGTTGCATCCTTGTCCAATAACCAACAAATGGACATATTAACAGAGAAAATGAATTGTATACATTTTCAGCAAAAATAAAACCAGAAGACTAGCAAATCTTAGAGTTAAATGGAAGACTGGCTCACAGGCCCTCTTTGAAGAGGCAAATAGCAAAGTTTGTATAATTGGTTTTATTGTGCACCCAAAGGCATCAGTCATGTTACAATGAAATATGTAAAGGGACCACCATGAAAATTCTTGCCCCTTATGCATCAGTATCTGTTGCAGTAGATGAAGAGATAGAGAAATTCTGTACAGAAATCAGTAAGCCACTCCCAATGACATCAATCCATACTTTGATACCTGGTGACTACTTTTATCATGCCTGTAAACATGGCTATGAGTGAGAATGGTGAAAAAGATGTTGGAAGAGAGGTTCAAGAGTAAGGAATGGGGGAAGCTAAAGACCTGTGGACTGCCTCATTCTTGGATGTCATGAATACTTTTTTAAGGGAAGAATAAAAAGACAAAGGATGTACTGAATATCGACAAACATTACAAAGAAGGAAAGTGATTATATTTTAATAGACAAGAAATAACTTGTTACTAATGTGGGAATCATTCTTGATTCAACTGTCTGTGTGTAGTCATACCACTGACTTGTTAAATCAGAGGTCAAAATCAGGACTAAGTGAGGAGAATGAATAAAAATAAAAAGAAATGGCTTGTAATTAAAACAGTTATTTATACAAAGTCCATCAATAGATGATGTCTATCTATCTATATACATTATCTATGTATATATACATATAACAATCCATCCATATGGTATGTGTATGTACCATACATATGCACAGTGGGCATGAATAGGTTGCACACATTCTAAAAAAGGAATGAGGAAGAAGCCATATAA